CATCGCCCTCAGCTCCCCAGTCGAGCAGCACACCAAAACTACAAACAGCTAACCGACCAACGTAATTCGCCTACCCCATGCTCTCCACATAATCGTCCACTTCCGCACCACGCCTCTAAGTTCCACATGTTCATTCCCAATCCAGTCCCATCTCTGGTCCGATCCCAGCCTAGCCATTCTCGATCCCAGATTCTACCGCATCACGTACTCGCACCGACCACCCAGCTTTACCGGACACTCCCTGCGACTGATACACGCCGTAGAACTTGACACCTGACGCGCTAAAGTCGACCTACCGAGCGTCCCACGTCAACACACTAGCCCACAAAAACCAAGTTACATATCACCGCCAGCCCGCCCACTGGCGCGAGTTGCCGGCAGCGCGTAAGCGTAAAACTGGACTTCAACGATCCGAACATGATTCTCAAACTAGCCGCCCTCACCGACCAGCTGACCTTCCAACGTATCCCAGTCTATCATTTACATTATTTCGCCGTAAATAATCGATAGATCTGGTCCGCTGTACGGTGCCTCTATAGACAACTTTGACCAGACCATTCCCGCCGTGTTTTCAACTGTTACTATCATCCACCAATCGACTGTGATAGGCACCTTGTTTCGCTCGTTGCCCGACCTTCCAGCTAACCTCCTTCTAAATAAAGCTATCTCATCTTGATTGCCGCCGCGATTAAACCATGCTCCTTAGCACTACTGACCCAATCCACCGCCGTCAGCCCTCACCGATTCAAACACCACTATCGCCAATATCGTTCTCCAACCGCGCCACGCTCACGCCAGTCCACACCACCCTCATTTCATTGTCCTCCCGCGCCCCTCGCCTTCCCCTCCCACCACCCTTCACCACGGCTCTTCTCACGATCATGCGTTCACCTACCCCCTCCGCGCCGCGCTCTATGCTCCCTCGTGCACTCTCCTATCCCTGCTCCATCGTTACCTCAGCTCGACCCCCATCGCTCTGGCCGCCCCACTCCCTCTCGCCCTGCCTCATCGCCCTCGCCTCCGCCCTCGCTCCGCCTCGCTCCGCCACTCCGCCTCGCCCTCGCCTCCGCCCTCGCCTCGCCCCTTCGCTCTACCGCCTCGCCTCCGCCTCTCTCGCCTCCGCCCTCTCCTCCCCCGTCACACTCCGCCCGCTCCTATCGTACCGTCGCCTGCGCGCCCTCGCCCGCCCCCTTCGCCTTCCGCGCGTCGCACGCCGCCCTCGCCTCCGCCCGCCGCCTCCACGCTCTCGGCCTCCGCGCCTATACGCCTCCCGCCCCTCGCTCCGCCCTCGCTCCGCCCTCGCCCTCCGCCCCGCCTCCCCCTCGCCCTCTGCACCTCCCTCCCCCCGCTGCGCCTCCCCCCTCGCACTCCGCCCCTCGCCTCCGCTCCTCGCCATCCGCCTCGCCTCCGCGCCTCGCCTCTCGCCTCTCCACCTTCCCTCCACCAGCTCATCGCCTCGCCCTCCCGCCGCCGCTAAACAACCGCGCGCGCGCCTTCCGCTACCGTGAACCAAGCTCGCGCTCCTCCTGAATCCGATTTACGCCCGCGCGCGAGCGTTACAACATTGATCCCTCCCGTCTCCCGCGCGATGAATGAATCAGGCCACACACGCGCGACCCTTACGCACTTTTCGCGCCCGCGAACCAGCCGCACGCCGCGGCGAACGGTCTGCGGCTTGCGGCCGGCCGCGAGGCCCCGGTCGCCGGAGCCGGAAACGCGACAGACTGGCGCCATATCACGAACGACACCCACGGGCACCGACGCAAGCTGTATGATGCGAAACTGCCGAGTCGGCTGGCGAGAGATGACAGCGACTTTGGAGCTCCTGAAGGATAGTCATCTCTTATGAAGACGAATGAAAAACAAACAAACAATGCCAAGCGCCGGACCCAAAGCACTGGAAGCCACGGATCGCAGAGGAGCGCTGGGGCCGAACGAGAGGTCAGAAGCACACGGTCGTTGTGAGCACAAGCCCTAAAATGACTCGGCGGCTAGCTCAGTATGGATGGCAAACTAGCGCTCGGTAGCCGGCGCGAGGCGCCCCGACGGAAAGCACGTAAGCACGTGCGTGGCGACTTGCACCTCGCTGGCAGCGTGTTCTACGACGGCTGGCCCCACGCAGCAAAGCATCGGCGGCCAGCCTAGTTAGGAAGTCCATGAACCCTGCCGTCGCGGTCACGCTGCCAGGCGATCGAGACCCGTCCAGACACAATCCAACCTTTTTGCGTCGCAGACAGATCTAGCTAAATTGAAACCACAGCTAAAGCGCGACCACCCCAGACGCCCGCACCACTCAAACCACCCATCCCAACCAGCAGCAAGCCACACGCCTTTTTGCGCCTCGTAACGGGCCGAGACCTCCGGACCCACCGGTGCCGCCGTAGTGAGAACGGCGATGAGAAACGACAGTGGGAGAGACTCTGCGAGACGGATGAGTCGCACGGCCTTAGGCGGGACGCTATCCCTAGTTGGATGCTGGGATGACAGTGTTCAGGAACTGCGCGCTGCGGCGATTGGGCGGCCCCGGCACCAGCTCCTCCAACACCTCCAGTACCCTAGCTCGGCAGGCGCCACCGCTGCCGCACCCAATTCGAGTTTTCCACCCCGAATCCTCCGCTCCCACGACTAAGATCCTCCGTCCACCAGTAAATCCTCCACCCAATCCCCCATTGCTCGGCAGGCCACTCAATCGCGTCGCACTGCGCTTCACTCAGTGCCTCCCCGCCTGCCTCCCGCCGTGCAATATGCTCCTTCCGCTCCCAGCGCGAGCTATTGGGGGCGGCGCAGGTGGCGCCCAGTCGGCGCAGGCCCAAGAGGTGCAGCGGCTGCCCGGCGCGTTGGCGGAGGCGCGGCGGCGGGAGACTGGACGGTGAGACGGCCCACCAGGGACGGTCCACTCCCACCACCCGCATTCTTCACCGCTACCGCCCGCCACCACTCAGAGTCCTCCGGCGTCCCACCAGACAACTCCTCTCTGGGCCAGCCTCCCAATCTCCACCCAATCGCTCACTGGCTATCGACCCATTCCTGCCTTCAGCCTCCGCGCTCCACCACCCAATCCGATGGCGTGCTCGCATCCCCACGAGCGAATCTCCGCACGCGTCACCCACTCAAACCCACCACCACACAATCCCGCCGACTAATTTAGTCTCACCACTCAAACCCCGCTCCGCACTCAAACCCTCTGATATCCTCACAGCTCTCAAAGCGCGCACTACCACTCATATCCCCCGCTGCTCTACCCAGCGACTGCCTGCTCGACCGCAATCCCGCCGCCGCCAGGGCGCAAGGCCACCCCAAGGTGACATGAAATGTCTCTACGTAACTCGCTCTGGCGGCGAACACACTTGACTGACGAGCCGACCGGCTCACGCGAATAGCGTAGTGCACCCTGTGTTACATAAGGAGTGCTCGCCGTTCGGCGACTCCTGAACGGAGAAGTTTGTGCTGACTGTTCGAGAATTATCCCACCCTCCGCGTCGCAAAATCAGGTCCTGACCATACCTCCATTGCAAACCTTCCACTTTTAAATTGACAATTTTTATGTTGCTGGAAAAATTAATCAATTATCACAACGTCTGACCGGCATACACCCAACTACGTTTCGTTAAAACTCAACTCGAAATTTAACATTTACCCTGCTGATCCGCGATAATATCGCAACACACAAATTCATTTCTTTAAAACTTTCTGTGATTAGTTACACATATCTGTCGCAGCGACTGTGTTACGGCGCGCAGGCGAGGCTCGGTGACAGAAATGTTCTACGTAACTTCTGGGGCGCCTCGACTTGACGGTCGAGGAAGTGAGCAATGTGAATAAGGAGTTCTCTTGGGACTGAAGGAATTTTGTGGCTTGAGAATACAGTGCCGGTCGCAAAGATCGGTCTGACCATTAACCTCCATTGCAACTTGTTTATTACATATTTTATGTTGTGAAAAATTAACAATTATAGAAAATGTGATGTAGAACCAACTAAGTTTGTTAATATTCCACTCGAAATTTAAAGATTTACTGCTAGATTAATATGAACACAAATTATTTTTTAAAACATTTTGTGTTACACATTACGTACGCTGTAATGTATTTAGTACACCAAGTGGAATAAAGTGTGTTTACCATTTTAAAATAAAAATAAAAGTTAGCATTTCTGACATTATTTTCTTTGTCCTTTCATGCGACATCATTATAATGAACTCATCAGAGTGGTGTAAACAAGTTTTCATCTGGAGTTTTTTATAATATGAGCATCTTCTGTTCGAGAATTTAAGTGTTTGTTTTATTGAAAACTGCTATAATATACGTAGTTGGTTAGTTAAGCACGCTACATCATTTACATGCCTTCTGTACATAATGGTATAAAATTTCCAGTCGTATACTTTATTCTTTATTGCTTTACAACTTCCTTAAATTCTTCCTCTTTATTAGTTTCAGAGAACATTTATTGTTGGATGATGAACACCATTATGCCTAATTTGGTTGTATTTAAATTACTTTTTTGTTCATTAACAAATATTCTGTTCATTAATGAAGTAAATAAAGGTTTTTGGTAATATTTTGTTGCTTGTTCTCATTTTAATATTTCTTATACGGTTTCGTTTATGAAGCAACACACACGAGTACCCTTTTCTCCTAATTATTTTATTGCTTATAACAATATTTCATCTTCATCTTTCTTACAGACGCATACTATCGTACGCTTTTGTATGATGTAATAGCAAATAATAGGTTTTATTTAATTTCTTTCTCTAGTTAACCAAGATGTACGATTTTTGTCGTGAATCTTCCAAATCTGTATATTTATAGTAGTGAGAAACATAATAAATTAACATGAAAACACACAAGAGACTTCCAATACGACCCTGTCGGGTTCTATCTTACAGCGGCACCACAAAATTAAGTGAATTCAACGACCATTTTCAATATTCAGCCGGCATTTATTGAAGGCATTTATTTATTTTTATTTTATTATTGAAGGCTCCGATCCTGGTGTGTTGCAGATCGTGCTGAACTCGATGCATCGGTACCAACCTCGCATCCACCTGGTGAAGTGGCGCGAGCACGGAGGCCCGGTCACCGACCTGGAGCAGGAGGAGTACCGCACCTACATCTTCCCCGAGTCGGTGTTCACCGCCGTCACCGCCTACCAGAACCAGCTGGTGAGTGGCCGAGAGCGGCGCACACCGCCCGTCCACCTAGACGGCCGTCCAGCCGCGAGGCGGCGATGCAATCGGCGCTGGCGAGACGTCCCGCACGAGTACAGAGGGCGATGGGACGACACTTTTCTTTTAATAAAATTGAGGTTCTTGGGACTAGGTACTGGTTATGTACAGTCAGTTACGTTTACAATTGTTAGTGCCAAGTATTCCGTAAATCAGTTAATCGACGTAAAATGTATTTATTTTTACTGACACGTTGTTTATCTTCGATATGGGGCTCGATATACATAACATACTTGGTTCGAAAGGGTCGTGGTCGTATTTAATTTAATGGAAAAGAGTTACAAAATTAACATGGTCCCTTGCGTCTTGTTATAGACTGAGCCTATGATCACACTACTTCGCAAGTGGCTTGCCAAACTAGCAGAAATATAACTAATTCAAATGTCCTTGTTGACTATCTTATCTTCTCTAGTCCCATGGGCCTCCATTGAATGACTGGGTGATTGTTAAACTGCTAAACATGGTACCTCGAGTACAAGCGAGTGTTTTAAGTAATTAAAAATCAAACAATATTTCTTCACGTTAAAATAAAACGTTAATTGCTTGTTTAAAAAAACATGAGTGTGGCAAGCAACCCCAATAAACAAGCTGACTATTCTCAAAGTACATGTTTTCTCACGCCCATACAACTGTACATTCAACGTTATTGATTAGCGATATTGAAACGTAGTTCTCAAAACAACGTAATCAACTCAGTCTTAGCACAATCTACCGTAATGAACTTTAATAGCATCTCTCTTGACACCACTGTGATCACCAACGTCATAAAAGTTCGCCAACTATTCCATTACTCACGTTCCACTACCACAATCTCTATCACCACTATCTTCACCTGTGCCACTACCATTAAAGCTATCACCACGGTTGTTATTTCTTGCAGAGAACGAACTATTGTCATCGCTTTTCTACTTGGCATTTTACTATTACTATCTGCATCACCGCCTACGTCGTCTCTAACACCACCCGCATCTCCATCTGCATCAGCACCATCACCACAATTACCATATTCAATATTTCCACTACTTCATACTCCAGTGCTGTTTCTGTACCCACGTACTTTGCCTCTGTCACCAACACCATCACCATCACCGGCACTGCCACGACCCGCTGCGCTCTAGATATCGAGTGATGGACGGCGAGCAGCGACTGACGGGACGCGGCGCGGAACCGAACCTTATAATCTCGCCCACCACGCCGAGCTGTTTACAAAGCACCGAATTATCGTCCCGAGTAATTACGAACAAGAGGGAGCGGGCGCCAGTCAGGCCACGGTCCGTCGATACGGTTTTCGGCTCAGGAGACATTGGGCGACAGCGAACTGGAAAGAATGCTGCAGAACGATCCGAAGCGTGGAAGGAAACCGTGAGGAAACTGCGGTTTTCGTGATAAGGGAATGAATAATTTTTGCGAAGAAGAATAGCGGCTCGCAGCGCTCGACACAAACGTAGGAAGTGGCGAGGAAAGTAATTAACGGTGTCGCAGAATGTTGATGAGTTGGCTGGTCGTTGTGCTGAACGCATCTCTCCACAGCTCGGCAGACCCCGCTAATATTTTTATGTCGTGGTTTAATGTTGAAAGCTCATTTCCGGGTCCCTAACTAGGAATGTTTGCGTTATCATTTCTTTTCTCTGACAGTGCAATATTAATAGGTTATGAGATAATGATTTGTCTCGTTATGGATTACAGGAGTTTCTTATCGCAAGTGTACCTCCCATTAATAATTCTAGTCTATATGTTTACTTTAATTCATTTGAACATTTTTCTGTTTGAAATGTTTTTATAAAATGCGTAGGTAAAAAATATTTAGAAAAAATGCGTTGAAGATAATATTACTTTACAATATATTATTTTATCAATTCAATTGATCAGAATTATCAGACAATTTATCAGAAAAATATAGTAATGTCACTGTTGTCATTATTGTTTCTCATGTTAAGGTTTTGTAGAACAGTAAACTGTTCCATTGCTGATGAAGTGAATGTTTAGAAATTTTCTAACTTGACACTACAAGTTGGTGGTGTCCAACACCACCAACTGATTTTGATACCCATATTCGCCACCGGTAATCGACACAAATACTATCTCAATCATGTTTACCCAAGCAACTCATGTAGGAAATAGCGAATGGAATATTCTAACATTTCTAAACAAAATGAAAGAAAATTCTGAACAAAAATGTGTAGAAAAGTATGTTTCTAACGATTCCTATGTAGGCTTAAATTCCGACGTCTTCCTAGTCGTAGTGAGACCTTACAAGGCTCTTTCGGAGATATATTAGCGGCCGTGACTTCCACCTCGGTGCGTTACGACGATCGTTGCACTGCCGCGCGAAAATAAACGCCGGCGACAAAGGCGTGTGTCTTGGATGGCGGCCAAAGAAAACATTTGCAGCGCTATTCAGCCATCGCGCGCGCGGGTAATCCGCGCAGAGGCGGCGGGGGCGGTGAGGGCGGGGGCGGCGGGGCGGCGGGCGAGCGGCTGAGCCCCTCCGTGCGCGCGGAATGCACCCCGCGCGGCGTAATTCTAGCGCTTAGCGGCCGACTGGGCCCTTAACTGCAGCGAGCGCGCGAAGGCCGTTCGGCCAGTGAGTCATAGCGCGGGAAGCAGGGGTGCCAAACCGCCGTGCTCACGGTTGGCGTTCTGCGCGTTCTGGACTGTTTGTTGCTAGGGGTGTCAGTCGATGTCACTGGCGGTGCCGCTGACCGGCAGGTCGTAAAGCGGTTTGCCGCTCGACGGTGGCAGATTTCGACGTAGCTGTGGGGTCGAACGATCATCGTTGAAGTGAGAAATTCCTAGCGGCTGATCTGCTCTGATCTGTAGTTTTCCGGGGTTCTCGATTAATACCAACAATGGGGAAGAAGTACCCTACACATGACCATCGCGTTCAATATGTATATTATATATCAATATATTACAATATATTACATAATACATTGAAATGTGGTACTACTTTTGAACTTTGGGATGCAATACGAACGTAAATGTATTGTATGGTCGTACGTATGGTATTGAAGCCTTATCCCTCTACATTACCAACACTGGTATTGGGATGCCAATAATCTATGGTACTCTCATAGCAACTATTTTATTATCTCACTGAGGAGTAGACCTGTAAGGTAATCACCTCGTCGGTGGTTTAAGCTTCTTTTCGCGAATAAAATATATTTTATCTCTGGTTACATTAGTTACTAATGTTAAGAGGGAAACTCAATTAAAGGCATTCATTATTGAAAATTGACACATTAAATTTCTTGTGTGTAGAAGTTTGCGTTTACAAAATTAAAATATTTATTTCTTTGTTATCTTCACATCTAAAAATTTAAAAACTACAAGTGATCAGAGATATTTTCAAAAAAGGTTTTTCCAATTAATTTAGAAATGCACACCAATATTGCTGAATGGTATTACACAGAATGAAATTAATAACACCCACTTTTTTTTATCTCCACTTAAAAAAATTTACTTTTATCTCTTCTACTTTGCTCGCGCAAGGATGCTGACATTTTTTGCCTTCACGCAGCGCAAAGGAAATATTTGCCACCGCTCCTGCTCCGGTCGCGCTGGCCCGAGACGGCCCCTGCGTGCTGTGGATGTTGCTGCTCGCGTATCTTAAGCGTAGCCGCGATCTCGTCAGACTCGACCGCGAATGCCCGTTTAAAGCAACGTCAACTGGACCTGGAAGAGCTTCTGCATCGCCCATTCACCCCGGACGCCACATTACAGCTGGGAGCGCGCACTTAACGGCACGAAGTTGCTTTACAAGGGCAGCCGGCGAAAACAAATTAAAGCCTCGAGTAAATTACTCCTTGGAGGTCCCCGCGTTCAGGTGTTTGAGATATTATTGAGCAATAAACGTCTTTCTTTTGAAGAGAGCGTGCGACAAAAGTAGCTTTTGTGAGGCGGGAAAAGTTGCGCCAAGTACTGGACAGCCAGGAGAGGTATGAAATCCCGAAGGTCATTTTGCGACAGTATAGAATTACAATACACGTCGTTTAATATAAATCGATAATGAATCAAAAACATTTTTTTATTTTTTTTTTTTTTTTTTTTTTTTTTTTTTTTTTTGTTTTTTGTTAATGAATACGAGTGTGTGTAAGTAAAAATGTAATGGATGTTTTAGTGCAAAGATACAAATACTTTTCTGCTCCTATTATAAAGCTGCTATTCATTCACAGATCAGTTTATTCTTGAAGAACGTTTTTGTTTTACGGAAAATATTAATAAATAAATTTTATATGAAAATTTGGGAAAAGTTTTTATTAAATTCCAATGAATGTGATCGATAGGTATTATAACCATGAAAGAAAACCCTCACGTTAACGCTCGTTCTTAGATATTATTGATAAACCTTCGTTAAAGAGCAGTTACTTATGATTTCAAAATTTGGGAAGATTATAAATTTCTCCACCCAAAGCGAATAATTACTGAACGTGCTCTCACAGACCAGGCCCGAGGACAGTTATTACTTAAATTACCACATGATTAACGTGTAGCTTAAAGTTCATATATTACTGCTAACCGAACGCACATCTATCACGAATGAAACGTCGAGACCGTGGTCAAAGCGATAGTTATCGTCGGCGCGCACACGGGTGCGCGCGTGAAGCAGCAAAGGGCGGAGGCGGAGGCAGAGGGCGGCGAGAGTCAGGACGCACCTGAGGCGGCTTCGGCGCCGCGGCCAACGCCTCCACCGCCTCTCCAACAAGCCACCGTCGCAGCCACCGCCTCTCCACCACAACCGCCACCGCCTCCACCTCCGCCACCCCCCTAAGCCCCGCACCTCGCAGCCACTCCACAGCCCACGCAGCGCCCCCAGCTTACTCACCTGCACACCGCCGTCACTGCCCCCACTGCCGTGCCACCGCCACCCGCCACCGGTCACAGGGGCACCTCGCAAGCCACCGTCAACCGCCTCCGTCTCCGCCATCCCCCCCCCCCCAACAACCACACCGTGCGGCACCGCCGCCCGGCTTTTTCCACCGTCACCGCCACCCTTTATAACCTCCTCTACAACAGGCCATGCCATTCCACCAACACAGGGTCCATTCCACCTTCTTCTGTCTTCTCCACCCGCCAAAGTCAACGCAATTACCACCACCAAACTTTACGCCAGACCTACACACTCCGCCATCCCCACCGTTTAGCAATGCAGCCAATTATAGCGGTTTCCCACCTGGCCACTGCCATTGCTCGTCAGCGCCCGCCATCTCCCCGTCATCATCTGTTCCGCAGTTTTAATTCGTTCCACATTCACTGCCTCGTAACTTCAGTTACACTGCCGACGCTCCACGGTCAAGCTTCTTCAACACCGACTGTAGTTTAAGCCGCACGATCAACAGAAACCGGCACACATGCGTCGCATGTGGCCTCACCGACCCTACATCTACCATCCACGCCCATCCCCCACCCCCTACACTCACGTCTAGCGCTAACGCCTACAATCTTACCGTTATATCAACTCCTGATCACCGCCTTCAACGCCAGGTGCCGTCTTCCTTTGCACTTTGTTGCCAGCGATAGGAATACATTTCTCCGTCCCTGCAACTTCCACTCCCCCGCCAGCCCTACCGACAACTCTCTTGGCTTCCAAACATCTTCCACAAATATTTCGGTGTCCAGTAATCACCGCACACCGCACATACCCAGGCCCTGAGGAAGACTGCACGACAGGATGGTCGAAACGTCGGCAACAAGCCTTCACCCGGACAGCCAGATGACGCACACCAACCTACCGCATTCCACTATCGCTTCTCCGCCAGCAATTTTAATCCATGGGCTACCAACCAGCCCGCGCAACCTCAACATCTTCACGACACGGCCTTTATCGGCCGTCGTCTCCATTGTTTTCCCAGTAAACAACATCCAGGCCATATTTTCCGCCACGGTCTATATCGCACATTATTCCGATTTTATCACCCGCAGTCGCCTCGTGGTCAAACCCGCCCGTCCGCGGGCTTTTTTTTTCCTCCGTCACGCGCGGGTTGGGGTTGGGGGGTGCCGTCAACTCTTCAATAAGTGGGCGGGCGGGCGGCCGTGTTCCCTTCAACCTCGTCGCCAGAGACGACCCGGCTCCGACCCGCAAGCGCGAAGGCGCACCTGCTCCGCCGGGGGCTTTATATCGACAAGGCGAAGGGGACGGCGCGTGGGCGCTGGAGGGGGCGTCGGGAAGGGGTAGGCTCAGGCAATGAAGCCGGTTTTTGTGGCACTAAAACCCGGACGCGCCCCACCTTTCAGCGCCGCCACGAGGCGCGTTCGGAGTGCGGGCACATGCAAAGCCCCGGCGGGCGCGCGTAGAATCTAGGCCATGCGCGTCTCGCGCGTGGCGTCTGCGACGCGGTCGTGTCGCACGATGATAAGATGTAGGTGTTTGTAATTAAATTTTCAATGACGTTTTAAGTGCAGGAAACGCGGGGCCGTAGGTAGCAGGTAACAAACAACCGATGGCGCCGATCGAGCACCGTGTGTGCGACGCGCGCCTTCGACCCCGACCCTGCCGGTGGCAAGCCGAAACGACATGTCGCATGATCCCAGAGCGACCGTCTCGGCGGCCAACAAATACACTCGGCCCGCTACGCGATGGTCCGCGACTAGAATCTATTAGGCTGGAAGTCCCGAATGGGATGAGCCGCTAGTTACGCGTGACGAGAGTAAAAAGAGGTGTGTGTGTAGATCGGTTGGGCAAGAAAGAAGGTGACTTTGCGCGGTTGGGCGCGGCTGGTGTAGCCATGGCATTAAATTCTGGCGAGAAGCCGATAGTGGAAGCCGGTGGTGGTGGCGTCAATCTGGGCTGTCCGGTGAAGGCTGTGTGCCGACGTTTCGACATCCTGTCTGGTCTTCCTCAGGGGCTGGTATGTGGCGGTGTGGGGTGATACTGGACAGCCGAAATAATTGTGAAGATGGTTTTGGAAGCCAGAAGAGTGTCGGTGGGCTGGCGGGGGAGTGGAAAGTTTGCGGGACGGAGAAAATGTAATCCTATCGCGGCAACAAAGTGCAAAGAAGACCCGGCGAACCTGGCGGTGAAGGCGGTGATAGGATTGAATAACGGTAGAATGTTAGGCGTTACGTAGAC